GTGCAATCCTTAACATTCTTCCAATCACTGAGAAACACAAAATTCAAAATATATAACTTTGTTATGGTTTGGGACTAACAGCATTAATCTGAAGAAAGAAAAGAGTCTAACCATTTTAATGTTTAAATTTATTTACTCTTTTCATAATAAATCAAGCATCTAATGCTTTCTTTAAATCCCCAGAGCACAACTAAAGCAAAAGAATGGTAAGGCTCAGAAGAATACCCACAAACCAAGCAGGGACAAGAACCTGATTCACACCAGATGTGGGGTGACAGAGGCTGCTGGTAGTCACTAGCTTACCTGGATGAGGAGTGGATGTGTGGGCCACCTGTCAATAGTGCTCCACTTCATCCTAGGCTTTCGTCCCACTTCATTATAGTATCTGTAAATGGCATTTAAGCTGCTGCCTGAAATATAAAGGGGACCACTTAGTAGATGCAGGTCGGTTATGGTGAAAATGAAAAACAGACTAGTAAAGCCAGTCTATATAAGTTCAAAGTAGGTAACTGCTTATATACTGAACCAGTCTAATTATGATTATTTCCATACTCTAAAATGTATATAGATTGAACTACCCTGCAAATGAAGATCACTAAAAAGCAATCAATTTCAACAGACTTCCAAAGATTATTAAGGACATTGCTAGTGAGAAACACAATGGCCATGGATTTATGAAACATAAGCAGTCATCATTTGCACGGGGCCAAGTCTTACAATTGAAAGCATGTTAATTTGTTTCTTTAGTTATGAAGGTAATCAACCCCATTACAGAAAATGTAGGGGGTGAGAGGAAAGGAAAAAAGAAACCACCATTATCCCAGCATGCTAATGCCATTGTTTTATTCTAGCATAGGTCTTTTCAGCTATTTTTCTTTATAGCTGTTTTGTTCTACAAAGATGTAATTTTAGTACACATGCAATTCTGCATACTGAGTATTTATAGCATTTTTACTTAACATTATGAAATANCCCTACCTTACAAGTAATCTAACAAAACTTGTATTTCTAAGTGAGGGATGGAAATCATAAAAATTTAAAGCCTAAAGGAAGGTAGATGGTGCCAACCCAATGCAACTTTTCCCAGGCTTAGGAAAGCTGGCATTGGGACCCAAACTTAATCCTACACACCCAGTCTTAACACAGGACCTCTTCGTCAGTCTAAACGTACAAGTCCCAAAACATCCCCATTCCTCTCATCACCAGTCCACTGAGTTCTCTAAGAACTATTAGTCAGTTAGGTTTCCAATTAAAAATGCTAGTCAGGAAACAGCCATATTTTAAATCAAATATACTCTTAGGCTAAGACTCAACTTTCAAAAAATAAAAGGGTTCAATTTTGGTGAATAGAATACAGTGAATCAGAAGAACACAAATTGAGTCCATTCAAGGTTCAAAAACCATCTCTCCAGGAATCACAAAGTAGTCACCACCATATCCACATCAAAAAACACAGTGACAGGTGGATATCATTTTCAGATGTGCAAAAGGGATACTGGAAGCTACATTAGCTCT